CCTGTCAGAGCTGAAGTCGCGCCCTGGCCTTTCCTCTGACTCTTCCAGTCTGGACCATCCCTGTTCCTCTGTCTCTAGAATCTGTCTCTACTACAGCAACACTCTTCCCTCTATTCTGCCCATAAAGATCCCTGCTTTGCTCATCCTGAACAAACCAACTAGACGAACAAGATAAACCTTCTTCTAGTTGGGCTGTAAGCTTCTTGGCGGGCAGGACTGAGTCCTCTGCGCTGAGGCATCCCTCGCTGCTGCCACTTTCTGAAACACGTAGGCATGCAGCAAATGTTGGGCGAGGGGATACCTTAGTCTTTTCTCCTTGAACTACTCTCCCCTTTTCTCTTTTTGTTGTAGCCTGTGTTGACTTTCACATCTCTGCCCAGACTTCCACTCCTGAACCTTTGCAGAGTGGCAGATCGTTGGAGGTCACACAGAGGTTTTGGCTTGTCGAATTCAGTGCCTGTTTGTCAACATGTGTGGTTGGTTGGTTGACTGAATTTCTCATTCTTATTCAACTGTCTGCAGATTGATGCTGTGACGGTTTCTGCTTCGCTGAATGCCCTTCCTTGGCATCCAGGACCTGGATCTTTTCTAGCTTTCTTCTAATTCTCTGACTGCTCCTCCTTGTGTTCTTGGCTGTCTAATTTTCCTCCTTCAGTCTCTCAAATAGTTCGTGTGCTGTTCTCAATTGTGTTCTGCTTACATAACTCCCTCATGGGAGTTATTCTGCAGCTGGGGGTTAAACGAGGCAATGGGGGAGTTAATATTTATGATTTTTTCTTTACAACCTTATCTTTCCCACTAGACTCTGAACTTACAGCAAAGCCCACCCCTAGTTAGTGCTTCTCAGTGATTGCACCTGGAGGAAATGGACTTAGTGCATATTGGATAGATAGATGGATGGATGAATGGTGGCTGACTGGCTGGCTGGATAATAGATGGATGATGATGAATGGATAATGGATGGGTGAATGGATGGGTAGATGGATGGATGATGGATAAATTGATAGATGGTGGATGGGTGGATGATGACGGTTGGGTGAATGGATAGATGGATGATGGATGGATGGATGGAAGAACAATTTGAATGAATGAATGGATTTGAAGGGCAGGTTGCACTTAGATCATGGAAAGAGAAAAATAGCAATGTGACTTCTTAATTTTAGAGACAAGTCGTCAATATTTCTGAGCTACATTCAGAGAGTAAAAGACACTCTGTAGTGTGCCTCTCCCAGGTACCTTCATACTTTCGCTCCCCTGTCTCCTCTGCCTTCCTTGCTCTCCTCTGCATTACCACCCAGTGAGTACTAAGTGCCCATGATATACTCACGCCTTTGAAGAGGCACTGCTGTTCCACGGTGCTGGGCGGGACTGCTGCCTCCTTTGCACTTCTCTTATGACTCTCACCACATTCTGCCCACAGTCAAGTAACTAAAAGTGCAATTCTCCCATCAAACCTTTTTAGTGAAGGCATATCCTAAGTTACTCCAGTACCTGGACACTCAATACATATGTAGATTGAGATAAGCCACTTATCTTGGTAAGAGTTAATTTGTTTCCCAAGTCTTAGATATAATGTTGTTAAGTAGGGAGATTTATGGGCTGGGCTAACTTCTGGCAGATGATTTTATTTTAAAATTAGAGCACAGTTGGAGGGTGGATATAACTCAGTGGTAGAGCACATGCTTAATGTGCATGAGGTCCTGGGTTCAATCCCCAGTACCTCCATTAAAAAATAAAGAGAAAGAATTAGAACAGGAAAGTGTATTCAGCATGTCTGTGTTGGAGGCAGATAGTGAAAGAGGAAGGTGACTCTTTTGAACTTAGACACTGGCTAGACAGGATGCTCTGTGCCTTCAGATTTGATTAATTCTGCTCTTCTACGTTCCTGAGCAGAATCCCAGGCAGTTGCCTTCATTTATTCCCAGACATCGCAGCATGTTGGTTTCATCCTCAAGCTACCTCCTCTCGTGATCTTGAGATGGCTGTCACAGTTCTGAGTGTCACACAGACGGGACAGTATCACATGACCTTTGTCAGCCAAGGGACTTTCTCCAGAAGTCTTCTAGTCACTTCCCCCAGTGTTGAGTTGCCCCAAATTATGTCACATGCTCATCCTTTAATCAGTTGGTGGCAAGAGGAAAGGATGCAGTGATAGGATTTATAGGATTTAGCCCTGAAACTGGGGCAGGGTCAGCCTTCCCCAGGGCATATTGGGAGGTGGGTGGGCTGCACACCCAAACGACGTTGGGTTTCCTCTCTCAGGAGAGGGGGCAGCCAGTATGTCTGCTGCCTTTGTCACCTATGTGGGCGGGGCTGTAAACGGACCAACAGGCGCTTCCATGGCTGCTCACCATGACCGTGGGGTGCATGCTGCCCTCTGTTTCTGGTGTCAGGAGTGGGACAGAGCCTTCTCACAAAGGACAGCTGTTGTTCACTCAAGATCCTGGTGTTTTCTGTCAAGAAGGCAGCTCTTCGGGACATCTAGTTTTCCATCTTTCCAGGAGTTGACATCCGCGTGTGAAACATTCACTGTTGCTGAGACAAGGTGGCCGGGAAAATCTGTGTGTAGGGAGTGCTCCTTGTCTGGTGGTTTGGGGAATGAGGAGGTTTCACATACCTGAACATACAATGCCTTGCATGTGTCCACTTGGCACTGCCACAAACTCTGTCTCATTGGACTTGCACCATCTCTCTTTTACCCACAATTTGCAGATGGGCAGATGGAGGGTGAGAGCGGCTACTAGCCACTGGTGGTCAGTACCAACCCGGCTCTGAGTCCAGGTCTCTCTGGGCACCATGGCTGCTTTGCAAATGAAACCTGCCCTTCAGGTGCTCACGCGTGTTTAGCTTTGACCATTTGCAATGAGAATTTTCCAACTAACACAGTCATGTGTGTTCTTCTGCCTCTCACTGCTCAGAACATGGGGCTCCCTAGATCATCAAATCTGGGGGGATGGGGCTCATAGCAATTGACCATGGCAGGGTTGGCTCCCAGGTTCCTCGATTTCTGCTTTCTGCAGGACCAGGGGCTGTTCGGCTGGCTTGAGCAGTTTGCTCTCATACCAAAGTTCCCAAATGGCTGTGTTTTTGGAGTTCTTGCACAATGTTCTGACTTTTTTGCTTTGATGGGGCTGGCTGTTACCTCATGCGGCTGGTAGCGTGTCTTTCTCTGGCAAAACTCCCCTCTCCCCAGACTTTGTGACATTTTTTTGGATCCTTTGTGGCTTCTCAGCTGTGTCATGGATAATTTACATTGTCAGATAAATACCTTCTGAATAAATGAACTATTAATAACACCATAATGCAAATTTAAAAATACCATTGCACATACTTAATAGAATCTTCTCTGGGCTCTGCTCTGGTCTTTAAGTCAGATCCAACAATATTCCATCATAAATCAAGTTGTTCTTTTGGCATAGGAGAGGTTTTGGCACAAATGTGTACTATAGGATGACACAACATAGGAAATTTCAGCCATGCTTTTTAGCCCTCATCCTCTTTGCAGCAATTGGAAACTAAATATTATTTTAACTGCTTGTCCGTGGAGAGCATTTAACCAAGTAATAATCAATATGGGCTTTTGGATTTAGAAAAAAAGAAATTTGGCAACACCTTAATTAACTCAAGATCTGTGCAGCCACGCAAAGCAGGACCTAATTCACTGCTGTCCCTGCCTTCGCTGCTGAGTGGCCTGTCACCGAGCACGGGAGGCTCCCACGGCTCCAGGAGGCTGGTTGGTTATCCTACATCAGTGTGAAGAATGCACTTTGAAATTGTGTTTAGGATTATACGATCATTTATCAAGGTGAATATTCTTGGTCCTGAAAATTTGTAAAACGTCCACAGTTACAAAGAAGAAAGTAAGACACCCTTGAAATTCATGCTGGAAACTCAACGACCACTTCCGGTAGCGAGTTCATGTGCTTCTTCAGAGTCTGCCTCCTTCTCCTTCTGTCTTCCCTCTTGTCTGTCATTTATCTGTTTTCTTTTTCTTTTTCCTATATTGGAATCAGACTATATATATGGTGTTGTACCCTAATTTTTTCCCAAGAACTTGGGTTTTCCATATCCTACCAAACCCTTTGCTCCACCAGTTGGGCAGTTTGGATTAAATGCCTTGAAGTGCAAGCCCACGGCCTTCAGGCTGGGGGCCTCCTGGGTGGAGTGGGAGCTCAGCTGGCCTGTGGAACCATTTATAAATAGTATTGCCCATTGCAAATATTGATTTTGATTCAATACTTAAGGCATTTTATAATTTGAAAATATTTTCAACTGAAACAGTTGCCATTTGCAATTTGTCATGTTGTGAGGATTCTGTTAAGTGTAATAAATATTATGGGGTTGGATATTTTACTTGGAAAGTTGCATGAGCACAAAAATTCCTGTATCTCCAAAAAAAAAGTGATTGGATTTTGGAGTTATACTGACTGGCATTTTCTAAGAAAGATTTTTTGTTGTTTTGGTATGGTAGTGCTCGAATCTCTTAAAAAATGCACATCCTTGAAACATCTATGAATTGAAAGAATTGTTTCTTTCCTGGGACTAAAACAATTTCTAATTACAGTTCTCAGGATGTTGAATAAACCCCGTTACTTTTTGTTTGGAGCCGAGAAATGTGCTAAAATAAATGATCTGGAGAAACTATTATTACTAAAGCTGGGGGCTGTAAGGGAAGGAAAACATTTTCAAAATATTTTCTTTGCAAAATTAGATGTGGGCTTCAGTACATTTGTTCAGGCTTGGCCTTCATCTCATTCCTACTTTTTGCTTCATAATGCTGCACTTCCATTAGAGAGACGTTGCCACGACTCCCACCCCCTCACTTTTTTTTTTTTCAAAGGGAAGGGTTTTAAGTTCGTTCCAATTTTAAGTTCATTCCCCTTTTAAGATATTTAAAAATAATGTTTAAGGGATAGGTTTTGCTGCTAAATGTACAGTTGATCCTTGGTTTAAATATTTGGAAAAAAACAAGGTTTAATATATTTAAATTCTCTTTCAGGTTATTTCAAGATCTTTGAAGACCCAAGAAAAGCCGTGTTGACCAAAAAAAAAAAGCAAGACAAATGACTCACAAAGAAAAAAGATGGGGAAGCCAAGGGCAATTAAATGTAAAGCAGAAAACCCAGATAATTCCACCCCCCTAGTCCAGAATTTTTTTTAATATAAATATATGAGTATTTTGTATCTTTAATATTTGATATTTGTGGTCCCAAACCTCCAAAGACTTTTTCTTGGAACCTTTGATGTACTTTGAGGAATTATATTGGTTCCATTGATTCTTTGCCCAGCACCCTCTGCCCCAAATAAGATGCCTCTTGCCCAGTATTACCAGTTCCTGCCCCCAACACTATAGAATTTTTAAAATCACTGCTTTCTAAGTACTGCAGCCATCACGACTCCTTTTTCCACCGCCTTCTACTTTCTTCTGCTCCTTCCAAAAGAATCAAAGGGCCAAGGATGGTGTCTATAGATCTGTGCTTTTACAATGATTACATTTTTCTGTCCTGTTGCGAGATTTGGCTTGTAGTTATGTTATAGTCATTTTATTTGACTTCAGTCAAAATCTCATTTCGAGAGGCACACACAGAGAGTGAGTCTCTGCATAATGAATGCAAAAAATAAATAAATACAGGTAGGGGATATCAGCATTTTGTCTACAAAACATGCCCCACAGTTCTGCAAGACTGTCAGACTTCCCTCAAAAAAGCACTCTAGGGATGGGAAGAGATGATAGTGGGGCCCACGTAACACTCATGTGGCTACAGAACTTGAGTCTCTCCTCTGCTGAAAATAAGCCAGGAGAGGTGAGTAGACACTGTGGTGCCTGGGACGTGCCTGGAGCAGAGTAAGAAACAGTGCAGTTAAGTCGGATGTGGTCCCTGAGGCCACGCCCTGTCAGGGCCTGGAATCTTCATCACATAAAATATGGAAAATAAAGGTGTATTAGTTTGCAGGGCTGCTATAACAAAGTACCCCAGGCTGGGCTTAGACAACAGAAGTCTATTCTCTCCCAGCTCCGGAGTCTGGATGTCTGAGGTCAGGGCTGGGGTGGGGCTGGCTCCTTACGAGGGTGTGAGGGGGAATCTGCCCCAGACCTCACTCCTTGGCTTGTGGACGGTCATCTTCCCCCTGGGTCTTCACTTGGTCTTCCCTCTACTTATGTCTCTGTGTCACAGTGTTCCTTTTTTTAAAAAAAAATGGGGACACCCGTCATATTGGATTAGGGCCTGCCCTGATCACCTCTGTGAAGACGTGGTCTCCTAATACGGTCACATTCTGAGCTACGGGGAGTTTAGACTCTAACACACGAAGGGTCATGTGATTGATGTAGATCAGCCCATGCAGCAGCGACTTGTATTTGTTGGAGAAGATAAGCTTGTCCTACTGAAGTTCAGTCTCTTATTTTTAGACAAATGTAAAGGTACATTTGATTCCTCGTACCTCCACCTCCTGCTGGTCTCTCTGGCTTACTTGTGGGGCGGGCAGGCACCAGGGCTGGGACTAGGGTAAGCCAAGCGGGGCACCACATTTAAGGAGGTTCTCCTTCTCATATGCTGATTGTGCACCTGCAGGAGCCCGGGAGGGAGCACCTCCTTAAATCGTGGGTCCGGGGGTAGGGGTCTCCCTTGCCTCCCCCTTCCTCCCACTCCATTTGGGAGACTGCTGCCTGGGGAAGAATCAGACCTGTGCAGTCCTTAGGGTAGGCTTCGCTGGTGATGGACCGACACGCCTCACACCCGCTCTTCTAGAATGAGTGTGCCTAATGATGAGCCCAAGCCGTGAACAGATCCACTGTGATGAGCTTACACAGAGCCACTGTGCCTGGAGTGTCTTCACTTAATGACCGGTTAGCTTCAAGTTAAAAATTCAGTTTTGAAAATTAAGAGCAGAGGGAAAAATTAACGGTTTATTTCTTGAGAATTGTTTTTCTCATAATCGCAAGATTTTATGTAGTATCAAAAACGTTGCTTTCCTTACCATAATGCTTACCACTTAATAAGTGTTTCCAAGTGCCTCGCTCTGGGAGAGGCTTCTGAGGCAGCATTCAGTTTAATCTTCACAAAGGCCTTATGGAGTAGGCGGGGGAGGTTAGCCAGAGAGTGGTTCTATTTGGGCCCTAAGCGGTTGGAAGAGCTATTGGCCAGATCTTGTGTTCACACCTGTGTAAATCGCTAAACATTAATTTGGAGGTGGTAACTGAGGGTGATTTCCCCTCCTGATGGCAAATAGGTAGTGTCTCTTCCAACACCATCAACCAGTCTTCCAGCTCTCCAGCACCAACTGAGCGCCCTACAACTTGATTCAATTCAGAGTTCGCGTCAGACCCCGCAGGCTGAAGACTCCACCCCACAAGATTGCCCCGCCCCAGCCCCCTACTCCAGACGCCAATGGAAAGTATCAGGTCCCTAGGTTACCCACACTCCTGTCCAACTTGGCTACTAATTTGAGGGTTCCCCCAGTACCCCCTTCAGGATACAGTAATTGGCTAGAAGGAGTCACAGAACTCAGGAAAATGCTGTCCTTACAGTTTATTATAAAGGGTATGAGTGAACAGACAGATGGGGGTTCACAAGGTAAGGTGCAGAAGGGTCCTGAGCGCAGGAGCGTCCGTCTCTGTGGAGTTGGGGGGCACCCCCCTCTCAGCACGTGGGTGTGTTCACCAACTTGGAAGCTCTCTGAATCCTGTCCTTTAGGGGTTTTATGAGGATTTCATCACGTAGGCAAGACCAATTATGAATTCAGTCTCCAGCTCCCAAAGGAGGGGGGTGGGGCTGAAAGTTCCAGGCTCCAGGCAAGGCTTGGTCTTTCTGAGTCCATGCTGAAGCTGTCTAGGGGTTTGCCAAGAGCCACTCCATTAGAATAAAACCTGCTTCTGTCACCCTCATCACTCAGGAAGTTCCATGGGTTTTAAGAGCTCTGCACTGGGAACTGGCAACAAAGACCACATATGATTTTTATGCCACAGTAACGTTATCCCCATTTCACAGATGTGGCACTAAAGGCCATGGAGGATAGCATGACCTTTTCTAGGTTTCCGAGGAGGAAAAGAGGAAAACCCAGTCTGGCCCCCACCCCCCATCCGACTCTGCCCCTCTGCTGGGAAGCACGGCCCCCCAGGAAGGCCCAGCTGCTGTGCCTTCTTGGAGTGTCGCCTGGCCGCCTCCCCTCCCACGCCGACCCTGAGGTGCCTGGGAGCCCAGAGCTCCTGCCTAGATGGGCCTGATCGTCTTTCGGGTCTTCACGTGCCTCTTTCCTGGAGCCCATCTCCTTGGGCAGGTCCTGTGTGTGCTTCCCTAGGCCTGAAGGATGGCCAGTAAGGTTGATGTTTAACAGAACATGGCCATGTAGACTGGGTGTCCGCATGACTGGGAGAAGGTGGGGAGTGCCTCGCCAAGGGGACAGAACTGGGCTTGGGAAGAGAAGAGGGGAAGGGACATGTGTCTGTTCTGGCCCCAGCCCTGCAGATATTCGGGGCATCTCTTGACCATTTGGCAGCATGGCTTCCCTAATTACTGTCCTCTTGGACTGTTTTCCTCTTGGCCCTGTGCACCAGTCCACACTTGGTGCAATTACAGCTAAAGCATCCCAAATCAAGTATTTATTTCTGTTTAGTAAACCATTGGGCTTTTAAAAAGTAAGAATGAAGGTGGGAGCATTTTATTTTTCAAACTACCCGATAATAAAAGAATACTGGATCCTGAAATACAAAGTCATAAATGTATACATTCCCAAACGAATTTATCACAAGAAATATATATGAAAGGAAAGGGTTTTTAGACAGCGTGGATTCAAGTTCTACGAGGGTTCAAGGGCAGGTAAGATAGAAAACAAAAAGCTACCACAGTGACATAAAAGCATCATGTCCTTCATTCATCAACGACTGAATATTTGAGAAATGATCATTAGAAACATAAAAGTAAGTTAGAAGTGCTCTTCAAAAGTCCACAGAATACCTCTCAAATGACAAAAAAGAGCAGGCTCCAGCTGCCCGCAGAGACGGTAGAGGGCATTTGTGGAGGGAGGAGGCGTGGGAAGGATGGTAGAGCTTCCGTCCTCCTGAGATTTAGGTGCGTTGCCTCTAAGGGGGTGTGGTTTGGAGATTGGCAGCACCATTCACACTGCATGGCTGATGAATCCCTTGGGTTGACAGTGATCCTGGTGGTGGCGGTGGGTTAGGGTCACATGCTCTGACTCCCTGAGATGGGGGAGCTGGGAGGAACTTTTGTTCCTGCTTCCCTGCCTTCCTGCAACCCACATGCCTCTTGATCTTCAGGACTCCTTGGCGGCACCTCCTTGGCTTTCCGTGTGAGCCCGCTCTCTCCCTGGTCTAAGTATTCCCCTCACCCCTCGTTTGGCTCTGCCACTGGCTGCCTGCTCCCAGAACTGAGCTCTCGGTATCTGTATGAACTGTTTCCCCATCTCCATCCCTTGAGGGGTGGGACTGTGTTGCATCTGGAATCTATACGTGCCCTTCCCTGCAGTTTCATCTTTAGGCATTTAAAATATCCCAAACTTCCCCATAAAAGATGCAAGACATAAACAGTCGTTATTAAGTTTATGTCTTACTTGGTTACAGACTGAATGGCCTTGGTAACTTCTGTGATGTTTCTGTGGCCTTGGATATCCCGAATGTCGAACCCATTTCATTGCATTTGGAATACCCAGCAGGCTGGCAGGGTCCCACCATGTGAAGTGAGAAGTCAGCCGCCCCTGGGAAGGGCTCTGAGAATCCCAGAGTCCTCTGGTAGAAGTTTCTCAGTTACTTTTTAGTTTTTCCAAACTCATTCTGAGGGCGGGAACGGGGTTTGAAATCATGTCTCTTAGATGGATGGAAATGGTTGGTTTGTGGATTGGGATGAAGTTGGTTTCCTTTGAAAGCCCTGGTGGAGTCTCCTTTCATCTCTCTAGCTGGGAAAGTTTCAAGGGGCATCTTGGTAACCTGGTTATTAAGAGCATGGAATGTATATCAGTGATTTACTGTCACAGAAATGCTGTGTAACAATATATCTCAAATCCCAGCGGTTTAAAACAAGTAGCATTTGAACAGCAAGGTCCCCTCCTGTTTAGCACAGGGAACTATATTCAATAATGTGTAGTAACAGATAATGAAAAAGAATATGAAAAATATACATATATATGTATAACTGAGTCACTATGCTGTACAGCAGAAACTAATGCAACATTGTAAATCAACTATACTTCAGTTAAAAAAAAGACAGAAAAATTTCCCCTAAAACAAGAAGCATTTGTTAGCTCTTGAGCCTGTGGGTCGGTCTCAGGTTGACCTTGCCTGGACAGTTTTAGGTTTTGCTGTCTCTCTCCCATGCCTGGAATCTGTTGGACCCTCAGGTGGACCATCTAGAGTGGTCCTGACTGGGGAGACTGGGTGGCTGGGCTTTGCTCATCCTCAGCACACGAGCCTGAGCGTGTTCCCACGGGGGTGGAAAGCTGCAGGTGGAAGCACTTGATGCCTCTGGAAGCTTCGGCTGGGAACCGACGCACTGTCCTTCTGCTGAGATCGGTGGGATGCAGCGAGTCCCGTGGCCAGCCCCCGAATGAGGTCTGGGGCAGTGGACTCCGCCTCTTCAGTGAGAGGAACCACAGTCACACGGCAAAAAGCGTGGACGCAGGGAGGAGTGGAGACCTTGAACCATCACTTGATCTACCACAGTGTGACAGTAAAACATCAGCTGCTTGGTCTCTGTCTTCTCTCTGTACCTGGAACACATGGAGTTTCGATTATCTGTGTGTGCAATGAGCTGTCCCCCACCGAGTAACCTAACAGAACAACCGACTTGTTCCTTGTAACCCTGTGGGCTGAGCGGACTCAGCCGGACAGTTCTGCTTCTTTTGAGATCGGCAGGGGCTGTGGTCATCGGAGAGACAGCCCCTCTGGAACGTCCAGGATGGCTCCCTCGGAGGCCTGGCACGTGGTGCTGGTGTCCCCCGGGCACCCAGCGCGGGCCTCTGCCGTGTGGCTGTGCTGGGACGGGGGACTGGGTTCCCAGAGGCAGGGAGGGCAAGCTTCTGGTTCTTTCAAGGTCAGGGCTGAGGCTTCAGTGGCGTTCTCGGGATAGGGGCTGCCATTACGTCGGCCGGGGTCTGAGGGGAGGGGACGAGCTTGAGCGCGGGCGACGGGCCGCGGCACGTGTGTGCAGGGGGCGCTGTCCCAGGGAGATGCTGAAGCCTACGGGAAGAGTGTCTGCTCCTGAGCGTGGGCTCCTGCAGTGGTGGGTGGGGGGGCTTCTTGTTTGTCAGGAAGGCTCCAGGATGGAGCCTGGTGACCCTGGGAGCAGAGTGGTGTTTTCTGAGGTGACTGCTGCTCTCCTGGGGAGGCCGTCTTGGGGGAGTTGAAGGATTCCACCCCTGCCAGAGGAGCGGGTTCCCGGAGACCTTTGGCCGGGCCCCCTCCTCTCAGCCTCTCCTCTCACCAGTGCGCCAGAAGCCGGGTTACCTCCAGCAGCTACTCAGTGCAGTTTCAAGACAGTGTTTCATTCCTTTTGCATTTTTAACGACTATTATCCCCCCAAAGGACTTGCTTTTAGACTTAGGGGGAAAAATTGCACACTTTCCAAAATTGAGAAATTTCACTATAGTAATGTCTAAGGTCCCAGGTTTGCCATTGTCTGGGCCAGCCAAGCTCCCCTGATCTTGGGCGGACCCCATGGGG